ATTTTTGAGGACATCACATGGGATGACAGATCCACAGACTCCTGGCATCTAAAGCAGTAGTCTCAAGATAACGGTCTCCAAGGACTCTCATTAAAACTTCTTTTTTAAGGAAAGGAGAAGACACAACCTTTTATATTATAGGAGAGTAATGTCAAAGGGGACTCATCACAGGCATTCAAAGGGAAGAGTTGCCTTAAAACTTACCCCCAAAATTATAAGACACATGAAATCACAGGAAGTACTGCAGAAAGCCATGCCTGAATTGTGAGACTAAGGTCTTCCTCCAGCTTAATGAACTCATGATTTTATGGGAATGGAAGGTGATTTTCCTTCTGTGAAAGGTAGGAATTTTAGAGTTGTTTCTCTTTATAATGAACATTATTCTGTGCCTTCTAATAATTAAGTATCCACGGGTGTTAAAAGCCTGTTATAAAATATTATAGAAACTATGAAAATGGATAAGCTGGAAATTAAGAATGTTATCAATTCCCTACTCCTGGCAGAGATGCAACCCAGAAAACTGTACAGGGGGAAGATCTCAAGAACTGAAAAGAGAACAGAATGGCAAACTCAAGGCAAAGCCAGGTGAATAAAGAGGGTAAGGCTTGGGAAAAATAAACAGAAGGGCTGAAAAAATGTTCCAAGCATCTTGTTCTCCAGTGCCCGCCAGAGTGACTGGGGAGAATGGAAATAATGCCATACTGACAGAATCTTCCATCACTGCTGTTCTAGGGTATATGAAAAAACATGTTATCATTAACATACATGAAAAGTATGATAAAAGTCAAAAGTTTTCAACCGACAACATAACACCATTTGCAGCAACATGGATGCTCCTGAAGAATGTCATTCTAAGTGAAGTAAGCCAGGAAGAGAAAGAAAAATACCACATGAGATCGTTCATATGTGGAATCTAAAAAAGAAAAAACAAAAAAGCATAAATACAAAACAGAAATAGACTCACAGACATAGAATATAAACTTGTGGTTGCCAAGGGGGCGGGGAGTGGGAAGAGATAGACTGGGATTTCAAAACTGTAGAATAGATAAACAAGATTATACTGCATAGCACAGGGAAATATATACAAGATCTTATGGTAGCTCACAGAGGAAAAAATGTGACAATGAATATATATATGTTCATGTATAACTGAAAAGTTGTGCTCTACACTGGAATTTGACACAACATTGTAAAATGATTATAAATCAATAAAAAAATGTTAAAAAAAGTCAAGTTCTCAACCAAAATTAATGAGAGAGGTTATGAGATGTAGAATGATTGTAGATTGGACATAGAAAAGCTGGTAGTAGGTGAAGGAAAGGACTGAAAGAGGGAAAGTAGAGGTTGTAGCAAAAATCCACAAGTGATGGACTAGAATGCAGGAGACATTTTTTAGTTAGGATCCTGGAATCTAGAAAATGTGGGCAACACGGGGGATGAGGAATCAAAGTAATTCAAGCTAGGTCCTAAAAAATGAGTAAAAGTCTGATAGAAAATAAAATGGAAAAAAAAACCCCACAATTTATTACTTAGGAATAAATTTAACAAAAGAAGTACAAAACTTATACTATGAAAACAACAAAATTTTGCTGCACACCAGAAATTGACACATTATAAACTGACTATACTTAAATAAAAAAGAATGCCAAAAAAAAAGAAGGAAAGAAAGAAAATGGAGGAGAAGTTGCGGCAGAGGGAACCCCATGTGCAGAAGCACAGCAGCATGAAGTATCATATGTTTGGAAACTAGAGGGCACTACTGTTTGAGTGTAGGGTAGGTGGAGGGATGTGGTGGAAAATGAGCCAGGAGCAGTGCCTTGGGAGCTATTTGTGATGAGCATCAAATATCATGCTGGGCTATTTGGATTTCCTCCTATAAGCAGTATGTAGTCATTCACTATTTTTGACACTTTTTTTTTTGCATTTTCTTTCTTTTATGGTTGATTTATAATACTGTATTAGTGTCTGGCATACAGCATAGTGATTTAGTTATACATATATATATATTCTTTTTCATTATAGATTACAAGATATTGAATGTAGTTCCCTGTGCTATACAGTAGGAACTTGCTGTTTATCTATTTTATATATAGTAGTTTGTATCTGATAATTCCAAACTCTTAATTCATCCTTCCCACTCCCTTCCCCCTTTGGTAACCATAGCTTTGTTTTTTAAGTCTGTGAGTCTCTTTCCATTTTATAAATAAGTTAATTTGTATGTATCATTTTTTTTAGATTCCACATATAAGTAACACCATGATATCTGTCTTTGTCTGACTTCATTTAGTATGACAATCTCTAGGTCCACCCATGTTGCTGCAAATGGCATTATTTTATTTTTTATGGCTCAATACTATTCCATGGTGTGTGTGTGTGGGTGTGTGTGTGTGTACACATCTTCTTTATCCAATCATCTGTCGATGGACGTTTAGGTTATTTCCATGTCTTGGCTATCATAAATAGTGCTGCTGTAAACATTGGGGTGTGTGTATCTTTTTGAATTAGAGTGCTCTCTGAATGTATGACCAGCAGTGGGATTAAAGGATCATATGGTTATTATTGACAATATTAGTGACTTAATGTATCCTGTGTTTAGGAATCCAATATCTGGTCACAATGTGGTGAATGAAATTAAAATCCAACAAACTAGGAGACAACTATGGAGGCACCATATTCACCCCATGTAATAGGTCCGGAACAATAGCAGAAAGAATAAAAACAAAAAACAAACAACAAAAAAGATGATGACAAAAAGGCATCTGGAATTTGGGAGGTTAACTTACGTGTATAAAGATGAGGAAGAAATCAAAATTGGGGTATGATGGTAGCTCTCTGATGTCTGCAACTAATTCAAATAGGAAATACAGGAAGAAACTGACATGTGGCGGAAATATGGCCAGTTCTGTTCTGAAAAATCTTACATTCAATACTTGGAGGACATTTTGGCCTGGAAATGTGCCAAAGGAAATTGGAGAGTCCTTTAGGGTAGAGGTGGGAATTGTAGAGACATACAAGGTAAGTGATAGTTAAAACAATAAGAATGGAAAAATACTTCCTTTAAAGGTAAATAGACTGAAAAATCTTCAAGGAAAGAGTGTAGAGTTGTCTCAAAGGTAAAACACATGGGTCTAGGTTGAAGATCGCTAGGGGTAGATAATTTCCATCTTAGGGTCTTTGTTTTAGCTGTAAATTGTGCCTGTAATGCTGACTACCCTGTTTTTTACCTTTTGGTTGCTAACTGACATTCTGTTCTCCATTTAAGCATGTTACCTCCCCAGAGAGGGCTTCCCTGACTCCACAAACCGAAGTAATCATTCACTCTCACATCACAGAGAGGATCACAGTGATCCCACGTGTCTGGTTACATACTGCATTTCCCAAGTGTAAAATTGCCTGGCCAGTGATAAGCATTTGGTTAGTGTTAAAAAAAATTCATGACTTCTATAGTCATTTAACTACTCTGTACCTCACTTTATTGTTTATAAAATCTGAATGAAAATTCCAAACACATAGACTTGTGAGGACTACATGAGACAGCTCTGTCTAACTCCACCATATTGTCCGGCACATTATAGGTATTAGGTGGGTGCTGGTTACCTGGCATGATTCCTCTTGTAATCAATCCTTGCCCATAATTACAATGCAAAGAGAAACCAGTAACCCTTCAAGTCACAATACGTTTGTTAGTCCTACAGAATAATTTCCAGCAGTGTTTCTCTTTCTCTTGCACAAACTTTCACTTTCCACCACTGATTCGTTACTATTTTTCTTTCCCTGCACATTTAACAATGACTGAAGTTAAAATCAAAATTCCATGGATTGTCTTCATGTCATTTTTTTCTGCCCTCATCTCTTACAGGATTGGATGATTAATGAATAATTGAAATAGAAATATAATTTACAAAATTGATCCAAGGAATTTGGGTTTATTCCATTCAGATCTGCACTTCAAAGCAAACCACATAACAAGTACACCTGCTACAAAATGTCCTGGAGGTTTTGCTAAAAAAAATCCAAAATCTGATTAGAACATTATGACCAGAACATGCAATTCTAAACAAGACAGTAAACTTCAAAATTATCTTGACTCGAGGCTAGTCCATTAATACATTAGGCAACAGGAAAAAGACCTTTAATGAGAAATTATTAAGAACTTACAATTATTGATATGTATTAAGAACTAATGGTATTTT